ATTAGACTTAGTTTTTTATTTTATTTTTAAAATATCATGAAGTTAAATATTATGTTATGCAAGAAAGAATACTGTATATTATTGAAATTCATATTGTAATGAATTAGCTTTAATTAGGCTTAGGTTTTTTTATTAAAAAAAAAAAAGAAAAAAATTAATTAGATAAAATTAATAGATAAGTTGTATTGATTATCTGTTAAATTAATTAAAAAAAATAATTATCTTTTATTTTTTTAATTAAAAAAAGAAAGAAAAAATATGCTCATAAAACTCTCTGCCATTGTTTATATTTATAAATTTATAGAATGTCTTATACAAGATTTCACTATCAAAGAGATTACAATCATATCAAGGTTATTAGACAATGATTCAACAAAGGTAATTTATTTAAAAATCAAGGTGTTCATCCCTTCAAACTAGGATATAAAACACAAACTGAGAAGTTTGATACAGGGGATGTGATTCTTTAAAGAGGTAAGTTTATTACATATGTAAGGTAGTAGTATTTAGTATGTATAGTAGTTTATTTTATTTTATTTTATTTCTTATCTTAATTTTCAAAAAACTAACTATCTCTTTCACTTCTTTCAAAGTGAATATCCCATCCATCAAAGTCTTGAGAATTTTAACATAATGCTATCAGTAAAACTCAGCATTATAGTCATCAGAATTATAACTAAGACTATTAATAATATTAATGGGAAGTACTATCTAGAATAATTAATGATAGCTTCTCTCTCAGCTAATTTTTTTTATCTACGGTTTTAGCAAAGAAAAGCAACAGTTTAAACAGTTAAGTAATGTCTTAGCAATGAGATACAGGTATTAATTTCCGTTGACATTATGTCGAGTTTGCCGTCAATAAGGTTCATTCGAAAAGAATGAGGGTTTGTGCAAGCAGTTAACTCGAATTGATGAAATTAATTATGGGAATGAAAAGACATTTTGAAATCGTAATAATATATTATACGAAAAAGTGGTATTCGTTTATTGTTCCGAATAGATCAAAGTCTTGTCTTGAGGGTAAAGTAAAATCACGTGACAAGTTTACTTGTTTTTATTACCTAAGAATTTTTATGGCTTGGCTACGAAGGGGTTAATAATAGAATTAAAAATAAATGGTTTAATAGAAATTCGAAATCGGAATATTCAGAATTGGGCAGATATTTCAAAAAAAAAAAAAAAAAAAAAAAGAGAGAATTCTTGATAGGAAGATATGGCTTATCAAAAATAAATAAGCCGTAATATCGCGTGCTTTTTACTTCCGGAATCAACTTAGCCATTGGCTGGTATGATCGTGCTAAGCCGAAGAGGTCCAAATACGAGTTTTTTTTTTTCCTTTTCTTTTCATATTATCTTGTTTGAGTATGTCCATCTAACATCTCGTCAATCACTTCCTATGTTTATGAATCAATGAATACATTATTATCGTTCCGTTCAAACAAATAAAACGTGTCCATGAAAAAAAAAAAAAGATACAATCGATGGCGAAGCATTTGACACAAAGTTACACAACACATTCTTTAAATGGAAATGACATGACAAAAAAAGACTGAAAATAAAAACCGTTTTTTCCACTCCCTTTATTTCTTGCATTCCTTAATAATTTTTTTGATTTATTCATTTTGAAATTTCAAAAATACGACATGGGCCAATGCTTTCTACTTCGTCGTATCTTTGATTTGTTAAATTATAAATCGAAAACGACGGATTTACACAAACAATTTTTCGAAGTTGATTGCGATCAAGAATTATTTAATGATTTGGGAATTCATGAAAATGATATAAATGTTGAAAAATCAATATTGAGAGGATTTCCTTTAGAAGGATCTCCCGAAGCGACCACAAAGTTATCATCATTACCAACGGAATGTCTCACACAGATATTTCAAAACGTAGGAACTTCTGGACTATTCTCGTGTTTATTGGTCTGTCGTGCATGGTGTAGAAAAGTGGTACCTATATTATGGTCAAAACCTTTTGATAAATTACCAAAAGATTGTAAATATAAACTTATTAGAACGTACATCACAAGTCTTTCGACGGAAGAAAAATCCTTCTTAAATTTACAACTTAAGCAATACGGGTTTAGAATTCCAAACGCGACGATTAGCTTATTTAATTACCCGATATATTTAAAAGAATTATCATACGTAGAATTATATCAAGCCGTCGATTCAGGGATAAAATATTATCGTAAATCATTCATTGGACGTAATACTTATAAACTAACCTTCTTAATAACGAAATCATTATGTAAAACGTTTTTAACAAAGAATATTAATGATTCATCATATCATTTACAATCATTTAAAATAGATAAATATTACAGACAAAATGATGATATCTTTCCCGAGATTGACCTGTTTTCAAAGGTTTATCCAGGTTTATCACACATCACGAAATTTTCATTGAATTATTATAATCCCATTTCAGATAACCTTTTCAAGTTGTTACAATATTTCCCTTCCTTATGTAAAGGGTTACATTACTTGGACATTACATTACCTTATTTTGAAAACAATACCATCATAATCGATTTATTAATCTCTATCATTAAGGCTCAAAGATCTTTGCAAGAATTTAATTTATCTGGTGCCAGGATTGGGGCGAATTTTATCATACCAAACCTTTTTTCTTTCCATTGTAATAGTTTGATTTCGGTCCAGTTCAAAAATGTTAATTTTCATAAGGTTAATTTACATTTGATTGCTTCTTGTAAAAAATTGGAGCACCTTACAATTTATCATTGTACGGGCATAACTAAATCTAGTTTACCTTCAGCGAATAACCTTTTAAATGGCAATTCAACTTATTTTTATGATTATAATGGAATGAGATTGAAATCATTAAACATTGGATGTTCTCCGAAATGTTCACAAATTCCGAAAATAATTCTTGAATCTCCACTTACGGAAACGTGTCAAGAATTATGCCTGGATTTAATCACACCAGAAATCACTAACGTCACAAGACGCAATTGTCAAAACGTTACCACTTTAATACTCCGAGATCATTTTATCATCAATGACGTTACCAAGGAATCCTCTTTAATATATAATTTATTTCATGGATTATTATTAGAAAGATTGATAATTATCATTAGTCCAAGGAATAGTGATTATGATGAATTAAATGTTCGTGCTATAGATTTACCATCTTGTTGTTGGTATTTGGAATTACGATGTGGATTTGCTGAAAGACAATTTTATGATTTGTTATTAAGTAAAGATTGTGTGGCTCCGATTAGCGTATTAATCTTGGAATATTTGAAATTAAATATTGTTCATCTAATGACCGTGAGAGATTTTGCAATGATGAAAGGAACATTAAAATATTTTGAAATTTGCGGAAGAAAAGATTTTGATAAAGACGAATTGAAGGTGATCAAAGATTTACAAAATGTATATAACGTTAATGTTAATTTTCACGAAAATTAGTTTACGGTCAAAATTTTAGACATTTTTTTTTTTTTAACAGGACATTTTAATAAATTAATATCAAATTTTTGATTCAAAATCAAATTCCCGGTTAAAATCTTCATCGCTTTGCTTATTTATTGAGCAATCATGGCATGTTACTATTCAAATAAATCGACCAAACCAACTTGTTCTGGATCATCTACAACATCTAATACACCAATTTTAGGTTTTACATAATTTCCTACAAGTTGTTTCTTTGAACTCGTATTTTGGTTTTTTGTCGTAGGTATTTTAAACCATTCACCTTTTGAAACCTATAATTTGTAGGTATTATATACAATTAAATTAATGCCACAAATGAATTTGCCAAATTTTGATGAATTTACTTACTCCCGTTATTCCTTCTAAAAATTTCTTTACAACAACTTTTCGCTTTCTGGATTCAGTTGCTTGACTTAATTCAGCTTCAAATTTCTAAAGATAAAAGATAAACATAAAAAAAAATCGCAAAATTACAAAACAAAACAAAATATAAAATAAAATAAATTTCTTACCTGTAATTTTTCATAATTCATATTCGATAAATTAGAAAAGGTTTCAAAAGGTACGGGAGAAAAAGGCCTTAATTCAATATAGATATCTGTTATTAAAGATACTATGACAGGATGAAATTCTTTATGATATCCATCATTCAATGCCTAAATTAAACAAGTTCAAAAAAAAATTTTATTTTTTTTTTTAAATAAAAAGGGAAAGAAAGAAAAACTTTGAACAATATTACTACTTACATGCAAAGCTGAAGTTAATAATCCTTTTCCGACAAATTCTCTTAATCCTTCTCGTTTAATTAGATTTGGTAATATTCTTGCGCATAATTGTACTGCTCGGACACATGATATTGAATCTTTGTATGTCATTAGATGACATAAACTCGTCAATAAGGGTTCTGCTATAGGCTGCAAATTTTTTTTAATTAATGATAATAATGAAGTAAGACTTATATGTAATTACTTACCATGTAATCTAACACATATTCTTTTAATTCATCATTTTCTATTTATTAAACATCTTAATAAATAATTACAATTTAAAATGTAATGGTACGAAAACGACTCCAAAAATAACTAACCGACAGCCACGCCACCTTCTGAAGTCTCGGCTCCTCCACCTTTTTTTCCAACACTTCCAAATATAGGCTCCACGACATCCAAATAAGCTCTGGTTAAATCTTTTAGGATCTTTTCATCAAAGATTTCTTCAAATTCGTCACTATATATATCTAATGAACTTTCTTCAAATGACATGGTTCTATAAAAAAAAAAAAAGGAAATTATTTACTTAAAACTTTCTGAATAAATGATAAAGCCATAATTAATTTGCTTACTCTTCTAAATTAGACATGTGTACACCTTTTATTATTAAGGCATTCCATTCTGCTAATAATTTTTCATCAATATATTTAAATAATTGTGGTAAGAGTCCTGAAAGCATTGAAGGTGCAGGACAATTTAATATATATGATTTTAATACTGAAGGTATAAATGAAATCAAGGTTAAGGATTAAATTTTATGCATATTTTAAAAAAGAATCCTCTCCTTAAAAGAATCAAGGATATTTAATAACATTTTCCAATGAATATTATTAATATTATCGGCATTCTCAAATAAGGACTGGGTTATTAATTCAGTCATGTTTGGTAATACCGTGTAGAAATCAGGGCCGAGGAATGGCAATCGACCAAGTATGTAATAACTTGAAACCAAATAAGCAAATCAGTTAAAAGTTCGAAAATTTATCTCATTAAAATTCGATCATCTGATAATTACCTATCAATTCTGACACTTACAAGCCATTTTTTAATGTTATCAATCATTCCATTAATTGAATATTGTGAATCTACCGTTGTAATTTTTTGTTGCATGCCTATAAAAATAAATAAATATTATTAATATTATTTGTAACTTACAATTTAATCGTAGATTTTCATCTGAATTTTTAGATTTATAATTCCTCGCACCTATGACCTTAGCTTTTTCTTCTTTAGAGAATAATATGATAGAATGTAATTCTACAGGAATTTCTCTCCATGTTTCAACATTCCAAACTTGATGTAACATCCTATAAAGTTATTTAATTAATAAAAATGAATAATAAAATGAAATCCTCTTGTAATCATTTACCTTATAAAACCTAGTATGAACGTTAACATAAAAGGTATATATTGTTGCCATAACTTCAATGACTCTTTCATTGCCGTATCATTTTTCTTCTAAAAAATTATATTGGACCCGTCTTTATAATGATTTATTTGCAAAATAAATATATGTTCTTTCATTACCTTGGATGAAAAGTCCGTGGTTCGCCTTAACCAAGTCAACGTAACGATTAACAACCAAGCTATCTTTTAATTTATCAATAAAAATTAAATTAACAAAAATTTTAAGCATCAATATAGTTGATTTTTCAGGCTTTCACACTTACTTTATTCCTTTTAGATTTAAATACCTTGATATCTTCTCTCTCAAATACTGGACTTTTTAAATTCATTACACCATTATGTTTCATTCCATTAACTTAATTTTTTAAAATAATGAAATATATTGTTAACCCTTTTTAAAAAATAAAAAATAAAAAACATAAAATATGTATAAAGGAATGAGCCTTTCAACTTACCAACTGTCGCTAAAAAATTCAGACCAATATTATCCATGAATCTTTGAATTGATTCTATGCAACCAACTAAAGACGGAGAATTATATTCACCAATATCCGATCCAATTATCGAATCAAATAATGGCTGCTTTTGCTCGAACGGAACTTTTGAGAAGTATCTAACAATCAAAATTAATTAAGTAAAAATAAAGTGATTTGAAGAAAATGAAATATAAGAAAAACTTACATAATTGATAATAAAAATTCTTTAAAATGACCTTTCTCTCTTCCGGTAACTAAACGTTTATCACTTCTAATTATCTCATTTATATGGTTAGATATATCGGAGTACATGCCCTAGTAATAGTAACGACAACAAATATTCATTTAGATTATTATACATAATAACAATAATTATTGAATGCTTACCATTAAAACATCAGGCATAACAACTCCAAACCTAATCAAAGCAGTAACAGCTCCAACTCTTAATTTCATGATTGGCGGAGGAAATGAAGAACTCGACGAAATACTATAACCTGGTGGACAAAATAACGCAAATTTAAACATCTAAAAAAAAAAAAAAAGAATGTCGCAATGTTATTGTTAGCATAAAAATATCGAAATAAAAGATGTTATAAGCAACCTTCTGTAAAACTTGAAATAATAAATTTGAATCAATCTGTAAAATTTCTTCGAATGCTGCTAATGCTGCCAAGTATCTGTGTATCATTGATAAATCCTATAAATAATAATAAAATGTAAAAATTGCTTTGTTAAAAAAAAAAAAAATGCAAATATAAATAAATCCTTACCTCATATTCAATTCTCAATAACATTTGTAATAAATTGTTCATTCCATTCATAATCTGTCCCCTTAATAATAATCTATCATTATTATTGACATTCTCAACCTCTTCGTCACTTTGTTGTTTAATTAATATTCCTAATCCAATAACAATTGATTCCACTAAAGTCATTTCAGTCTCAAATGTTACATAAAATCTAGAATCAAGTCTTAATACTCCGTCAACTAAAAGAAAATAATTTCAATATAAATAGAATTTTCGAGAGTTAATCTAACAAAATACGTCATTGAGGTATTCGCTTACCATCTAAATCTTCATTACTAGGTCTTACATTACAAGTAACTTGTATCCTATTAACCATCCAACTAAAAATTTCAATTGGTTGCATTAAAGCAACGCTTTTAAATAGTTCAACAATTTTATAGCGTAATGATTGATCAAACATTCGACGATCATTCATTGAATCAAAATCAAGGTCATTGTAATGTAACGCAGAACTATCGACGGGTTCTGAAGAATGGAGTGCCTTTTTTTAAGAAAAGTGTAACACATTCATTATAATTCCGTTAATTTTCAAATCTTTAAGTGAAAAGACGAAACACATACATTCGAAAATCGCTTAGTAAATAATTCCATCAACATTATTGGCAATCCCTTTTGTTCGCTGATTATCTAAATAAAAATTTATGTTAACCTCCAATTCAGGAATCATTATTAAAAGGGGGTCCTACCTTCGAGGTACAATTGTTCTTTATCGCAGCTTGCCAAAATGTTAACGATATAGATGCAAACATATTTGATGGAAAATTTGAAATTAAATAAATTAATTCTAAATACCTAAATAAAAACGATAAAAAAATATTGATATTAATAAATAATTAATCAAATAAAATAATTATTTATAAAACATACTTTGGAAATTGTGTTGGAATTGCTGAAATATTTTTATGACAAATGTGTTTCTCTCCCAATCCAGCTATAGCCTATAAGATGAGATTAAAATTAAATTCTTGCAATCCTTGCGATATATATATATATTTTTTAAAAAAAAACAAACCTCAGCAAACATTTTCAAATACAAGTATTCATCATCATCTATTAAGAGTTCCTGTCCAGGAGGTTGTATTTTGTTATATGCATTATGTAATAAATCCAGACACGTCCCATCAAATATTGGTTCAAGAACAATAGTGCGATCTTCTGCTCCTAAACTTCGTGAAAAAATTATTGCAAGACACTCGATCGCTTTCTACATCACCCATTAGAAAAGAGTTATAATATGAAGGATAAAAAATGTTTGTGAATCATTAAATGACACAAATTTACCATTCTTATTTCATAGCAATCAATCAACAAACAATTACAAAGCATCAACACAACGTTTGACTCTACGATTGATCTGATTAAAATTTTATCAAATTAAAATATTTTAAACAAAATAAAAAATAAAAAAATAACTCTTGATTTAAATACCTTGTAAGGATCCAATCCAAAGTGGTAGCCAAAGTATTTAAAATAGCGGTTGATAATTTTTCCTGAATTATAATCGTTTGTGGATTTGGATCTTGCAGTTGTTTCTATCGGGGGGTTTTAAATAAATTAAACCGTTTTTCTTTGCTGCCAAAAAATCAAAAGCAAGATTTACCTGACGTTGCCATTCGCCAACGATTTGTTCCAAACTTCTTATCCACCGAATTAACCATCCCTCATTATTTGGATCATCACCAAACATAATGGTGACTTTTCCTTTTCGCCCTCCTTCGCTTTTTACCCCGTTAGGATATTGAATTCTCAACACATTAGAGCTTACGATTACGCATTGCAACGAATCACGAGTCTCGGTTTCTTCTGCCAAATAACTAAGTATCAATAACGTAATTTCTTGTGTGGTCGGCTATAATAAATGAAAAGAATATTTAACAAACGAAAAAGTTTTAAAATGCGAACAGAGACGTAAGAGAGCCTACACTTTTGTTATAAAACCCTTGTAATAATTGATCCATATCATCCCATCTTATTGGCCATTCTTTTTTAGCTATATCGGCAAATAATTTTGCAACCTTACTTTTAATGAATGATTGTTCTCTCAAGATATCATGAAGTCCCTAAATTAAGACACAAATTAATTTTACAATCATATATATATATATATATATATATATCTGAATTATATAGGTACCCCTTCTATTAACTGAATAACAGCTTGCTTGATTTGTTGTTTTTCATCATCATTATAAGTTCCATCATTCCATTTAAATTCAATTGCGTGTTCTATTAATTGTAACCCAAAATGACGTACTGCATCAGATTGATTATTTTCTAAGTGTGCTAAATATCTTCCATAAATCGGCGAAAGTGGATGTTCTTTGATTGAATTACAATACTATAAAAGTGTTTATGATCATAAATTTGAAAAATATTAATATGAAAAAAAAAAAGAAGGAAAGGAAAAACTTACCTCTTGAGCTTTAATTCTTATTTCATTTGTGATAACATGATTATGTATGGTTTCCAATGCATGAACAATTTGTGTCAACACTAATATGAAAATAAAATAATTTTATGAGTAAACATTCTTTTGTTTATAATGATGTTTATATTATTTATATTAAAAAAAGTAATTAAGCAAGCGCAAAAAGAACGAAAATAACATTTGGATAATTTATTATTTAATATATTATCTTTATTTATTTATTGAATAAAATTCAGACAAATTTTTACAACTATTTATAAAAATAAAATAAATCAAAAAATTCAAGTTCCAAAAAAAAAAATCACAAAAAGTGTTTCTAACTTCCTTTTCTAACAAGTATTTAAAATTAAAATAGTACCTTCGTTATCCATTATAAATTAGAAAACCGAAAAAACGAAAGGACAAAAATCAGTTTATCAACAAAATTTATTTAAATCATTAAAATGATTGGCTTGCTAAATCGGGAGTTAATATGTTACACAATTATAATGTAAGTTTTTTCTTTTGTTCCCCGATTAGGAAAACACCATTTTTGTCAGTCAGATAAATTACAACAGTTGTATTGTAGTACACCGTCACATGATCTGAACGCTCGATATTAAAAAATTTTATTACAAACAAAAATTCATTTAATGTAAAACGTTTTGATCATATTGATAAACTACAAGATTAAGCAATATAATAACTTTACATCGTTTTTCTAATAATAAAGAAATCTGTACATAGATGCTAATGATATTGCAATAATTACATGATATAAACATTCCATGATTGGGAATATGATCAAGAATTATTTGAAAGCATTTCAAACAACTTGCCTTCCGTTTCTGATATCTCATCATCAGATTCCTCCAAAAAGGGGATAGTTGGTGAAATAATGATTGGATCAATTTTTTGTTTAACAATTCCAACCTCTTTCAAATTCAGATCTAATGGATGACTATGTTGCAAAGCCTTTTTTTGAGATGACACGTTTTCATTCCGTACCTTTGGTTTCTTTGGAGAAGTATCGGGTGGGTCGTCAGAGGCTATAGATCGCTTAACCGTTTGTTTCCCAGTTACGGGTTGAGAAGGATCTTGTTTAAACTTGTTCGTGTCTTGCATTTCCAATAATTCCTTTCTTTTACTAAAGCTAATGACCTCTTCAACTTCCATACTCTCATTTATACAAGGATGCGTTTCATAATAGCGACCAGAAATTTCTTTGATCTCCATAAAATATTCTCTATCTTCTTCATTTAATCTGCTCCAACTGAACTTATCACCTTTCGTAGATGATTTTAAATAAATATCACCATTAAAGAATATCTTATTTTCATAATTCTTATATATTGTGTTAATCTTGAAAACTCTGATATTATTTCCTTTTGATTCGACATCGTTCATTCTCACATAATCTTCCTCCTTCAAAATTTCAGAACCAAAATATATCGACTTGTAATGTAGACATTTTTCCATTTCCTGAAGCAATCGTCGTTCTTCCAAATCCTTAATATTTTGCAGGAATAGCGGAGGAAATGTGTATGTGTAAGAATCTAGGAGAGTATAAGTTTTGCTAATCCTCCTTGCAATATCACATGCCGAACAAAATAAGCTGATAATACGCATTAATGTTGGAGAATGTTTTCCTTGATCTTCCTTTATTTTATAAATTTTTTTCACAAAATTATCCGATGAGTACAGCAGCCAAGGAGCAACTTGATCTTCCAATGCTTTTAGTATTCCTGCCACGTTAAAAGGCTGGACTCTATAACATATTTTACCGATTTGTGATCCAATGACCTTATCATTTGCAACTTGTGAAACCTTTTGTCGTTCGATAACGTAACCTGGCCAATGACCAATGTCTACGTTTCCTTTCCTTAATTCTTCCAAATGATTATCAGGGAGAATCGTTGACGTTTTAATCCACGCAACTTCTCCGCTTCGAATATGATAACTTATGTCGGATGGAAGTTGCTCATTTTTTGAGGCACTTTTCTTTGACTTTGATTCAACTTTATTAGGTGATGGTGAAACTGTTAAGGATCTTTTTGTAAGAGCAGATTGAGGCGTTGTCTGTTGAGAAGATTTTTGTGATGTGGGTTGTACTTTCCTCCTTGGAGTTGAATCCTTTGAACAATATTTGCATACGCATTGAGTCGATTGATCCGACGCTAACCACAACAGATGATCTTCAAACTCTGCAGGAGATCGAAACTTGATCGAGCCGAATCCTATATATAAACGAGGTAAGAAAGAATGATTAAAAATAAAAAATAATAACAATAATTTGAATAAATTTTGACAAATTTCAATAAGTACTTACCAAACAGGTATGTGTCTGTCCTATATTTCTTTGGGTCGTGAATATAATTCTTGACGTGTTCAAAAAGTTGATATCCTTTAGGCAAATCCGTTAATATGTCTTGAGAAAATTAATTAGTAAAAATAAAAAAAATTAATTTAATCATTTATTAATTAGGACACGATAAAAACAGATTTAACTTGAACGCTATCAGTAATCAACTTACCGGTTGAGATTTCAGTATCACTATTAGCTCTCTTTAATTCGCGTGCTAATGCGGCACCGAGCTTAGTACAATAAAGAACCCATTTTGTTTCCCGCTTTTTAATTGGTCTGTAGTAAAATTGTTTACCATCTTCGTCTGGAGTACCAGCGACGGTATTTGTTGGATAATGCTCGCTTGTAGCATCACTTGTAGTGACCGTTAATCCCGCTTTTTCAATTTTTACATTAACAAAAGTATAAGCCATTTTTTTTTTTTTTACATATAACGCCACGATCTATTCAAATCAGTTTGTGTTTTATAAGCTTGAACTAATTTTTCTATTACTTATTAGTATTTCGACGAAGTGAGCATAAGTTATGTGGTTGTCAGCACAAAAGGATTCGAGAAAAAGTTTGTTTATATCATGTTATTTATATACCAATAATCCAATAATTAATTAAAAAGAGCGCGCGCAATTTAAAAAAAGGGAAGCGTCGATCAACATATCATCCAATTAAAACTCACTAGATGATCATATTTGGCTAATGAGTTAATTAAATTTCGCGTCATCTCATTAAATGAAGCTAATTGTCGATTGAACATTTTTAATCGTCATACCAGAGACTCTGAATCACGAAACGCAAATCGGTTGTTGGTATTTATGTAAACGTCGCACGTAATTTAATGATTACATGAATTATTTCCCAAGTCCGCAGTAAAGAAGAAAGAAAAAGAAGATAGACGCGTCTTAAATCTACATACAGTATGTGATTGACCATGGGATAGATCAACTTGTAGTGTCAAAAAAGAAAATTCGGTTGCATGAAATATTTGGGGATATTGGATTTTTTTTCAGTTAGAAGATTTTGGCCTTATCTATCATTTTAAGGATGAGATACATGACATCTCATGCAATTCGTTAAACGAAGTTAAAACGAATTAATAATGATCCTTCCTTCTCCCCCATTTTTAATATTATAACCAAAAAAATTCATTTTTTTTTTTTTTTTAACCTTGTTTCAAAGGACATAGTGTGTACACCCAAGAACTACAAACAAACGCCAAATTAATGATATCATGCAACATGAAGAAGTCACACGATAACACACACCTTACACAAAAAAAAATTTATTCCATACGTTCGGATTTTATTAAGATTTGACAGTTCATGTTCGCCGTAATTTCGTTCATTTTGAAAGTGGGCTTAAGCGGCGAAAGAAAGGTTTTTGATTTTTTTGTTGCAAACAATCTTATTAAACCTTATTATTCTTGCCTCGGGTTTTTGAGGAATTACTTTGGTATCCATATCTGAATATGCATTCTGCAAGTTGGCGATAAGAAAAACAAGTTGCCTAAATCAACAAAGATTTTTTTTTTTTTTGAACAAGATTCATTCAAAAATTCAGGGGTATTGTGAGCATTACGCTAAACAATACAATACCCAACTGATAAAACTTGTTTAGCCTTTTAAAATTGCTTTTTTTTATCTCGTGTTACGAAAATTTATTGTGATCAATTTTAACGCCAAGCCAGCTTCATAAAACTTTGGGTGATCAATTGTTATGTAAAACTAATTTAGGGTTTATAAATTAATACGTTAGATTAAAATCTATCTGTAGATCTGTGCCGAATTTTTTGGTTCAATCTTGTTAACCCTTTGAACCTTTTTTCTTCGAGCATATAAATTCTGCTCGTTTACCTTTTTTTTTTTTATTAATCTGTTCTGTGAACATACCTTAAAATAAATAAAAATTTACATATATATTTTTTTTTTTTACATGCAATCCTTTGTATAGTAGTATTAACAAAAATGTCAATAGGAAGTACTCTAAGGAAAGTCTTTTATTCTTTAATAAGAATATTTGCAAAATTAATTTTTACAATATTCTATCGAGACCATGGAGCATTTCATCGAGAAAATTTCCCAGAAGATGATGGTACACCAATATTATTTATAGCAGCACCACATGGAAATTTTTTAATGGACGCAATAACGATTTTTGTGGCCTGTCCTCGGAGCATGTATTTTTTAAGCGCAAAAGCGAATTTTAATTATCCTATATTTGGAACAATCATAACAATACTTGGATGTATACCGGTAACGAGACCACAGGATGTGGAAAGAGTCAATGGAGATGGATTAGTTAAAGTTATAGAAGAAGGGAAAGTAGTCGAAGGAGAAGGACTTGGGAAAGTATTACAAGTGGGTGATAATCTCTACGTTGAATTCGAAGGCCCTGATAATAATGAAATGTTGAACGAGGCGTGTGGTACGGTGGAAGAAATCATCAATGAAAATCAAATACGTATAAAAGATCCTGGAATGAAATGGTTGACAAAAGGAAGAAAAAAAGGGAAATTTAGACGATTGGTTGAATATGGTAGTGTGGTCATTAGAGTTGAGAGGGGCACTACATTAAAGACATTAGAAGGATTAAATTTTATACCAAAATCAGTTTCGCAAAGTGTAAGCAGAAGTTGGGATAGGTTTTCTTCATCACCCGGTAAGCTACCATTCCTAATCAAAGATGATCAACCTGATGAAATTGTCGTATATCCTCAAAATCCGGAAGCAACAGAAAGAACTCCTTTGCTTGTTGCTAATGGTGAATCATCACCATTATCATCATCACCATCATCATCATCATCATCATCAACAGCAACAACGACGACGACGACGCATAAAAAATCAACCCCAATTTATAAACCAAGCTTCCCTTGTGTACCAAGTATACCAACAACATATTCTTATACTCATATGCCACCACATTCTGAAGTATATTCCGCAGTTTATAATCATTTTTCGAAATCACAATGTGTTGCAATATTTCCCGAAGGAACTTCACATGATAATGAACATATGTTGTCGTTAAAATATGGTTGTGCTGTAATGAGTTTAGGTTATCTGGCTTCAAGAGAACCGGATTCTTTTGGGAACGAAAAGAAATTAAAAATTGTCCCTTGTGGTTTGAATTTTTTTAATCGTCATCGATTTAGAAGTCGTGTGTTCGTTGATGTTGGCCCTCCAATAGAAATTGAATCAAGATTAGTTGAATTATATAGATCTGGCTCTGAGGGAAAGCGTCAAGCTTGTCAAGAACTTTTGAAAACCATTCAAACTTCTTTGTCTGAATTAACTGTTAATGCGCCAGATTATTTTACTCTTTTATTTTTTAAAACTGCTTCACGGTTATACCGAGAAAGTTTACCAAATGAATTAAGTTTTCCTAAAAAGTTGGCATTGTTAAGAAAAATAGCTAAAGTAAGTTATACATGTTCTCAATCTCTCTTTTTTATTTCCCTAATATATATAATTAATATCCTTTCTTTTTTTCCTTATAAATAGAAATATACAGCGAATACACCACCAACAGACGAAGCACGCAAATTAAAATATGATGTGGTTGCATATATACAAAAACTTCGTAATCATCGATTATCACCACCACACATGTCCACAACTCCAATATCTTTATTTTTCTATCTACCATTATTTATAATTCTCGTTGTATTAACGATTCCAGGATTTGTTTTATTTTTCCCAATTGGAATTATAGCAAAATATGTTGGTAAAAAACAAGGAGAAAATGCCATGTTATACGATGATAATTCATTAGCGATAACAAGATGGCCAGGTAGAGATGTTATAGCAACATGGAAAATGATGTCGGGATTGGTATTATTTATTACTTTTGATGTAATATATACTGCGATTATGGTGCATTTTATCAAAATTTATGACCTTTATGAATGCCAATCCCGTAAAGATGTCTTCTTATTAGGCTTGTGTATATATACATTTTTCTGGACTGCGATTGCTTATGCCACTATCTTATCTTGGGAAAGAATGTGTTGGGTTGGCAAAAGAGTTTGGGTCGGTATTTGGAGTTTATTTAACCCAAGAGAACGTCAATCCTTAACTTCTTGGAAGAAAGAATTAACTCTTAGAGTTTGTAGATGGGTAGAAAATGATGACTAAAATTAAAAGAAATTACTTGTAAGAATATTTTTTTTGTATTATTATTTTTGTATTTGATAACGTATTACAACATATAGATCAAAAATCATGTTTATAAAAGACATTATATACTCAGGATTTACTCTCGGGTCTATAGCATTTATTATTATTATTATTACTATTATTATTTATTAACTATTTTACATGTATTATTTTTTCTACAATTGTTTTCTTTTTTTCTTTTTTTTTTGTGATTAGTATTATTTTAAATTATTATTATGTTTACGTAGGGTGTATATACTATACTTTATTTTAAAGTGTCAATTAAAATATTAATGTATAATAAAATCTATTTCAATGGAAATTCAACTTTTTTAATTTTAAAAAATCTTACGCGACATAGCAGTGAAAGTGAGTTTATCACCAGATAAAATCTGGTTGATGTCATCGGAAATGGGTTTTTTGTCTCGAACGATTATAAATATTTAACAGAGTATGAAAAGGAAAAAAGATGAATTGGAAAGTTTGAGGATCAGAAATTATTAATGTCTCCAAATAAATGTCATATTTTTCCGAAATAAGCATCGTTTTCAAAATAATGATGTATTTGTATTTGAGGTTTCTTTTTCAAGGTTGATCAGCTACAACTTTCAGCAAAATTATTTGTGATATAGCTAAACTCTAGAATTGTTGTTACGTTCGTACTAACTGTCATCATTATGCCCATGGATTATCAAATTTCTCAAAACGTCGTTTCTCATCTAGTCTGGGACGCAACGATTCAGTTATAATCTCTTCTTGCGGAATTGATTGAATTTCAATATTCTTCTTTTGTCGGAATATTCTTGGTTTCACAAATTTCGTATCATACTCATGTTGGACTTCTCTAAATATAATTTCTTTGTCCCGAAGAAGTGAAATGAATTTGTCCGTATAGAAGTACATTTGTAAAGCCAAGAACGCGGCTAACATGATATTGAAAATCCGAGTATCCTTGTTCATGAGCATAAGGATTCCAATTTGCACCGGAGAGAATCCACATAGTAAATTAAGACAAAATTTGTTTGGATTCCATACGCAAATTTCCCAAACTTTTTGACCTTCTTCATATGGTTTGTCATAATACAACTCATAAAGTTGTTGGTGTCTATTAATAAAAAGTTTAATCATTAATTAATGATTTTCAGTGATTCAATTATTTCAGTTTAAAAAGAAGCGAACAATTATTACATATAATATCCGAGTCGATTTCGAGCATACCATGGCAAGCCGACACAAACAAGGTTAGCATGTGGAATATTTAAAGGTTCATCTTGATTGTGAGAAAAGAAATGATAAATTCTATAATTCCACCACCACAAATATATTACATTCAGAATACTTGATAACAACAAAACATATGCTATTATAGAATATTCATCCATGTATTCTTCACATTCTATATTAATTTCATCTAAACAATCTTGTAAAGGTTCAGCGGATGAACATTTCAATTCTTTTACTTTCAAGTTGTTTAAACATATTTGTGAGGAATTTTCTCTTTTATGACTTAAATATCTCTCTGAAATGAGTATAATGTTCAAGACAAATGCCACAATATGACCTGCGGTACCTTGCAAATGATTTAAATCTGGTGGAAGATATGTGTCAACAAATATTGTAATGTAATCGCTGATTGACAACTTATCATCATTCATATTGGAAGTTTCATCGAGTCTCTTCATTTTTTATTGAGGTATTTGCGTATGAAAAATCAACGCAAAGAAATTTTCGTGTCAAATACGATAAATCAAACATGGTTTGTTTATATACAGTATTTATTTATTAACTGATCAAATCATCGGTTATTTATAAAAAAATAAAAAAATAAAATAAAATGATTGGACAGACAATTATCGCAGGTTGATGTGCCAAAAAGCAATCCTTTAACGTTATAAATAATAGTATTCATTTTTGAAATTGAGATAAATATTGCTATATAAAACTACTTAATTTCACGGGCTTTGTAAATTGATCGTTAAATTTGAATTGTAAAAAAAAAAAAAATATTATATAAAATAACTTATCAAAAAAAAAAAATTAAGCAATAAAAACTAAGTAAATTCATGATGTTTCTTTTTTTTTATTTAACATTATCTAATTTTTTATACAAATAATAGTTCCTTCTATTTTAAAATCCAATTTATTTCTAATTATTGAAAATTCTAAAATTTAAAAGGCTTTTTTTGAAGAAATTTATATTATAAATAATATCAAATAATTCTTAATAAATATTATTTAGGTTAAATAGATTAAAGAAATTAAATTAATATAAATATTATTTGAAAATAAGTATAAAGTATATAATTTTATAATTTATTAAAATTTTAAATCAATTATATATAAATAATATGGTTATTATTAATCTTATGTTCAATCTATTAAACTTAAGGTAACATTGACTTAATAATAAAATGTAATATATAAAACTAAACTAAGTTATTAGCAAATAAGTCCTATTATGATCAATCTTTATAAGGATGTTAATAGTTAAAGATAAATCAGTTTTAAACTAATTATATAACTAAATTAATTTAGGATCAAAAATCACAATAATTATCAGTTTTTATCATGTGATTTAATATGATTAAACTATAAGTTCAACTATAGTAATAAGTTAATTTTTAAATCAATATGATAAGAGTTCATACTGATATTATTTTTATTAGAAAAAAAAATAATTTAAATTTTTTTTCTTTATTTTAGAAACATAAGTATATGTTATAATTGACTTTTTTTTTACAAGACATTCTAGACTATTTATATGATTATATTTTTTATAAAACTAATTAAATTATTTGAAATCAAAAAAATGAATAAAGTTTTTATAGAATTAATTAATGATATAATATTCAAATTTTATACCTGTAATTTATTTCATATTTCTTTATATTCAAAATTTTTTATAATAATAGAAAGTATACATTATTTTTTATCTAATTCATATTTATTAACTTGAATAACCCCTTTAAAACTTTTTTATAATATATTAATTATTGTTTTCAAATATTTATTTTCAATTTCTAATTTAATTTTTTATTATAAATATTATTTAGCAAATTTATATTAAATAAATATAAATATATTATAATTATTATTAGAATTCACATCATATATTTAGAATTTAGACTAAGATAAAATATTATTATTTAATTTTTTAGTAAAATTATAATATAATTATTTAATTTAACAAAATACCTTGTCTTTTATAATATATTCACCAATCTGCAGATTTTGAGTCTTATTTAAAAATTATTGTATGACAAAATTTCTAATTTTAATCAATAAATGTGTTGATCCTCATCTAAATATCTTAAAATACCTTAAAAACTTTTCAAAAAACTCTAATAAAATGAAAAAAAACATATTAGATTTAGCAAAACCCATTAGATTCTAGAAGTAAAGAAAATGATAAAGCTGTGTGATTATAAACTAAAACTTTTATTGAAAATAACTTTATAAATATCTTTTTTCATAGAGTATAACAAAATACATTTTACAAGATCTAGATGCATTCTATTTGTAAAATTTATATAGTTACAGTACTAGTATTTAAAAACTAGTTTTTTTTATAGTAAATATGAAATTAAATACAATCAACTCTTTCTACAACAAATTTTGATATAATGAATTTTACAATACAATGGATTTTTAATGTTAGACAGATTTTTAAATATAAAAAAACCTTTACTATACTGAATTTAGTAATTAAAAATTTGTACTATGTTTAACGAATTAAAGTTAGAAAAATTTATATATAAAATGACTCTTTTTATAATAAATTTTCTCTATAACGAATTTTTTTTGATACAACAAAGTTTTGCTTAAAATGAATTTTACTAGATTTATGTATATAAAATTTTGTA